CCCCAAAACCCCAAAACCCCAAAACCCCAAAACCCCAAAACCCCAAAACCCCAAAACCCCGAATATTTATGAATCCCCTTCAGCAATAATATAATCATAAATTTTTACAAATATGGCTAGTCCAATAAGCGACCAATACGATGAAAATCTGGGCGATGACCTCTTGAGCGAAGATGTTGCTCCTGTAAGGGTCAACACTATTGCCCACCTTGCTAAGAACATGGATCATACACCCTTCAAGCTAGTCTCTGGGAAGCCAGAGCATCGCTCTGCTCCTGCAGGGTCTGAGGAGAAAATTACGAAGAACTTTTACTTTTCGCATTGTGATATTATTAAGAATGCAGATTTTATATCCTCCACTAAGGGTTTAACTGAGGTTGAAGAGATAGGTAAACCTGTCAAGCCCAAGAAGCTTGGGATTAGACCCAGATTGAGGTCAGGCATTTCCCAAGACATTTCTGCATTACTGAAGAGGGTTAAAACTATCAATGAGCGGTCCAAGAAGCTGGAAGCTGCTAAGAATGATGGGTTTAAGATAACTATGAGGAACATCAAACCTTCCTGTGACTCAGTTTAACTTAAATTTCTTTATAACGTAACGTGCATAATCTTCTTATCCCCAGTGGGAATGGAATCTTGGATTTCCAAGCTTATTGATCATCTGTATAAAGCCTTAAAGGGCTAGGTTGATATCTAAAGTACCATTTGAGGGTTGGACTATCACTGATCTGAGCCTTACATACTTTATTGGTCATATAGCCATCATTTGATTACATAAGCAGTTATACTCACCACAAATAATTTTGATATTAGACTAGTTTAGTATGTCAAGAAGGAATTGGGAACCTCTGAGTTCACTTTTGGATGAGAGATATACGAATTTTGGTATACCTAACTCTTTATTGGTGCTGAATGATTTTAGTGAAGTTTACGAATGGACTCTAGAGGCTCAGCAGTTGATGAGAAGTGGAGGTGTAAGTCAATATGGTTAGAATTAGTATCAAACTAGGTATATAGGGAATAATAGATATTTGAATAAGATAGTTTAACAGATTACAAAGGATCAATTAAGGTTACACTTGGGTTATACACGATTATAGTTAGGTGTATATTAAATCTCGCCCTTAATATTTATAGAAAAGCATACCTTAGTTACACAAAACTCTATAGCACTAAACTGTATATCACTCTCTATAAACTATAAAAAACGATACTTAAAACATAACAAACCCCAAAAACCCCACTCCCTCACCTGTTCTACAGTTCTGAATCACTTTTCTTCTAAATATCAGCACTCTACTTCGCTTACTGCCCATTCCTCAATTCTGCACGTCCCCTACCCCCTATTTTTCACCCTCTGAAATTATTTTCAACCTCTGAGCCTAAATTTGGGGTTTTGGGGTTTTGGGGTTTTGGGGTTTTGGGG